GAGAGAGAGAGAGAGAGAGAGAGAGAGAGAGAGAGAGAGAGGAGGAGGAGAGAGAGAGAATGTGCATGTGAATGTCTGTGAGAGCAGGCTTTTTTCTGCCCTGTAGGTTTTGGGGATCAAACTCAGGTTGTCAGGCTTAGTGCCCCTGCCCCCCCCCCCATAACTTTTTGTCTTGAAGATCTCTCTTTTTCCTCACTTGGTCTCCTGTATTGCTCTAAGTTGCTGTCCCTCAGACCCTTCAGATCTAATTGGATGTTACCTCTGGGCTGTTTTCTTTTTTGTTTTTCCCCTTCTGATCTCATACTGAAGAAAGCTGACTCCCTTTCAGCTAGTACATTAGTTTCTGAGGTCTGCATGCCTCCCGACACCCATACCTTAAAACACGGGGAATGATCTCTCCCGAGGCTTGACACCTGAAATGAAGGCTGTAATGGCAGGCTGCTTTGTCCTGAGGTTGCAGGTACCTGTTGGTCTCCCGGTCTGGGATCACATGAGTTTCTGCCTCTGTCGTCACGTGCTTTCTGTGAGTCCACACCCACATCGCACCCCCTTTCCCTTTCTGTTATAAGAGCCACTGCCACTGGATAATCCAGACAATCCAGAATGGTCTCTTCACTCTGCTTTGCTTTAGGCTGGGTGTCAGTCAGCCCCTATGTGGTTTGTCCTCCCTGTCCCTCTATGGACCACAGCTACCCAGGCTTCCAAGGCTGGCAGCTTCTCCTCCCCTCTGCTGGCATCTTATCCCACCCTAGTCTCCTCAGTTCCCTTCCATCTGTTTCAGCCATCCACACATGCACCGGGAGCTGTCCAGCTTATCGTCCATTGCTACTAAACTCGCCGGTGGCTGAGTGTCACACTTGAATCCTTGCTCCCTTCCTCCTCAGAGCCTCTGCTCACACTGCCATTGGCAGAAATGCCCCTCCCTCCCTGCTCTTCATTCTCTGAGTGCCACAAATGGTTCCACCCGGGCCACAGGCATACTCAGACCCTCCCCTTCTAAGGAATCTTCTCTTCTCCTTGCTGGCTGCCCACTTTCCTTTCGTGAAATGTACTGTCCACAGAACCACTGACTCTTCTCCTTTCGTTTCCAGAAGACACTGCTGTCTCAGAGGTTGGCAGGGACCTCCTCATAGCATTGTCAGGAGGTGGAGAGGTATGATGGTGACTGCTTCATCACTTACAATAAGGATGTGGTTTTCTCATTGCCCCACCTCAATTTCTTTATTTATTAATGGCAATAATAGTAGTACCCACGGAGCTGCCGGAGAGAATTAATTAAAGATGGCACACATAAAGGCGTATGTAGGGTGCCTGGCAAAGCTCATGTCGTATGTCATGTGTTAGGAGGTCTTTTCTCCTAAATTATCTTTTTATTTTATTGTACTTTTTTTTTTTAATTTAAGACTTATTTTATTTAGGTGGCCACAGAGGCCAGAGGATGGTGTCAGAGCCCCTGGAGTTGCAGTTACGGGCCATTGTGAGCCAACTCACGTGGGGGCTGGGAATGGAACCCTAGCGCTCTTCAAGAACAGCTAGCGCCCTTAACCACTGAGCCATCCCTCCAGTCCTCAAGCTATCCCAGTCTTTTCCTCTGTAGCCTTTGCAGCATTTAACCTAGTTGGCTTCTTTGTAGTCTGTAGGTTCTTCTGAGGTTAAATAATTTAGGGGTCATTTAGCCTTAGTCCTCCTGTGTGTCATCTGCATAATGGGCTCATTACCTTCTCGTATCCATCGAGACCAGTCTATTCCACCTTGTGCTGTTACTTTCATGTCTCCTAGCTGTGGTTCCAATCCCTTTCTTAGCTGCAATCCCACCATTATAAGTGCTGCCAGATTGCCTGCCCCTCAGGTCCCCTTTGGAAGCACCTGTCCATTTGACTGTAAGGCACTCAGCAGCAAGGTGTGTCTCCGCAGTCAGGAACCTGGATATCAGTGCTGGAGATCTCCCTGTCCATGGACACTTTGATGTCCCTGCACATGCTGTGGCCTCCTCACCATCAGTGCTCCACACTTCCAGTGAGCAGAGCTGGGTGTGGAAGGGTGGTCAACTCAAGCTTTTTACAAACCCCTTAATGTTTTTATAGTGGAGAAGGGGGGCAGGTTCACGAAGCCCCTGTCACAAGCCCTGGCTAGAAAGCCTAGACACTTTGGCAAACTATTGCCTTTTGAAGTTTTTTCTTTTTCTTTCTTTTCTCCAAGGTGTTTTTATGGTGTTTTTCTTCCTTCTGAAGGGATAACTGGCAAACAAGTTGGATTTATGTCTCATTATGTAGAGGGAAGTAGAAAATGAGCCAATTAAAAAACACACAGCATGGTTTTAATTAAGTAGTGGTGCTTTTTAGTATATTTCAGAGTTGTCTCAAGACATAAGGGCAAATGCAAGAAAGACAACCTTACTCATTTTCTGAATTATGATTTCACAAATTGGAATAAAAAAAATTAGATCAGGATTTTTTTTTCTTAAAGTCTTACCAGCGAGAGATTGCAGTTGCTATTGGCGATAATTAGCTGGGATGCAGCTGCATGTGGGTCAGTGCAGCTGTATGATGTTGGGGACTTTGTCCTGGTGGTTTGTTTAGCGTGACTTGTAGGTGCATCATTGTGTCTCTGTCAGCTGCTCTGTGTTTAAGCACATCTTCATTCCCAAATGGGTTCCTGTCTTCAGGGACCAAACCCAGGAGGGCCATTCACCTGAGGGATGGAATTGTCTTAGCTGTAAATGATTTAAAGTAGACTAATAGATTGCTCCTTGCTGTTGAGAATGGTCCCCAGCTCCTCCTCATGTCTGTTCCTCCATTCATGCAGTGAATATAAAATGCATTCCTTTATTAAAAAAAAAATCATCGTCATGATAATCTGTTTTTTTTTTCCCTAAACAATTTTGTACCTGTAGTTGAAACTATGTGTATTTTAGAGTTATGTCTCTAAGACCCAGGGTAATGTCCCCGAACTCTTAACACCTTAGCATCCACTCAAGGGCAAAAGTGCAGTAAAATCATGTCATGTTTCTAACCGTACACGATAAACGCACTATAAAATGCATGATAAAAGTCTAAATAAGTTAAGTTCAGTTAGGAGCACTCTCCAACAGACACATCCAAGCCTGGGTATTCATTCTGTGAGAGTATCATTCCTCTGCACTGACAGCTTTTCGTCATGTGGACAAATCTGTTAACCAAGTCTTGCTGGTGCCTAACTGCTGTGGGAATGAACTGCTTACCTGAATGGAGTCCTGAAGGTTTGGCTTTGTGATGAAACTAGTTAACATGGAAGGGGGATGGGAGGTATCTGGTACAATGCTACCTATTTAAAAAACAGAGCTGAGGTCCTGTAGGCTGTCTCATGTGGGGTCCCCAAAGAGGATCTCCTGACTTAGCTCCCTGCCTGCTCAAGGGAGTGTAACACCTTAGTTAAGGCATTCTGGAGTCTGTCAGTTTACTGATTTCCTCAACAGATAGAAATTAGGGACTGCTTTTAAAACACCTCAAAGAATTAAGGCTACAAACCTGTGCACCGACAGTTGCTTTTTCATATTTTGTGTTTGAAAGGAATTATAGTACTTTGAGTAATTAACTCATAGAAATGATCCAAGTGGCTGTCAATTCCAAGTTATTCCTCCTTTCAGACACATTGAGGCTTTATGGGGCTCCAGAATGGTGACCCATCCAGATGTTCTGGTGATCTCTAGACCCCATCCAGGTGTTCTGGTAATCTGTAGACCCCATCCAGGTGTTCTGGTGATCTGTAGACCCCATCCTGGTGTTCTGGTGATCTGTAGACCCCATCCTGGT